GATTCAGGAAGCTTTCATAAAGCAGAGGTGTCCTTTTAGATATTTAGATGGAAAATAAAGAATATCATTAAACTAATCTTAGTTGAAAGCAGATGGCTTTTTTTTTTTTTTTTTCTTGAGACAGAGTCTCACTTTATTGCCCATACTGGAGTACAGTGTTGCAGTCTCGGCTCACTGCAACCTCTGCCTCCTGGATTCAAGGTATTCTCATGCCTCAGCCTCCCAAGTGGCTGGGATTACAGGCGTGTGCCACCATGCCTGGCTAATTTTTGTATTTTTAGTAGAGATGGGGTTTCACCATGTTGGCCAGGCTGGTCTGGAACGCCTGACCTCAAGTGATCCTATCACCTCAGCCTCCCAAAGTACTGGGATTACAGGTGTGAGCCACCACACCTGGCTTCAAATGGCCATTTTATATAAAGTTCAAAACCTGGCAAAACAAATTTATGGTGATAATAGAAATTAGAAAAAAATGGTATCATTTGGTATTGACTGTGAAGGCCACATTAGGAAAACTTTTATGATGCCAGAAATGTTCTATAGTTTTATCTTAGTGGCTTTGTTGGTATATACATGTGTAGACATCAAAATTATATACTTAGCATTAAATAAAAAAGTGAGAAGTAATAGCATTTGAGATGAGGTGAAAGTGAATTATGGGAGTATTAGCAGACATATTGCCTAAGGTGAATGATAGCTCTTTTCCCCCATTTGTTACTTTCTACAACACAAGATGGTTTTTAATTATATAAGTTACAGGTATTTAGATAATTATAAGTGTCTAAAGTTAAAATTGAAGGTCTCCTTCCTTAGAGCATTGCTTGAGTCCAGGAGTTTGAGATAAAATCTTTTCTGTGTATACACCAACATTCTTTAAACGCACATTTTGAGAAGTATCAAACTATATATATAATTCTGAAATTTGCTCCACCTCCACAACTCAAGAGCATATAATAGATATCTTTTAGTGTCAGATTATAGACTCACCCTGATTCTCTTTAATGATTGTGCAATCCTCCATAGTATGTTTATATCGTAACTTAGCCTCCTCCCTAAACATTTCAGGTTATCTTTAGTTTTTTACTAATGAAAATAATTCTGATTAACTTTTTTTTACATCTATATTTGTATATTTCTGTAAATATTGTTATAGGATAATTCCAGAACTACAATTCCTAGGTTAAATTTTGTTAGCCGCCACAAAATTGTCCTTCAATTTCAGCAACTGGGAACGATAGTCTTGCCAACTTTGGATATTTTCAATCTTTTAAAATGTTTGCTGATCTAATAGACAAAGATGGAATCTCACTGTTTTAATTTGCCTTTCTCTGATCACTAGTGAAATTGGGCATCCTTTCTTATGTTAATTATCGATTGATGTTTCTTTTTTTGTTAATTTTGTGTGCCCTATTTTAATTCTCCTTATTTGTCAGGAGTCGTCGTTTATGAGAATAATCCTTTTCTTATGACGTATGTTGCAGATTTCTTCTCCAATTTCTTGTCTTTTAGATTTATTTGTCTTTTAGCTTTACCTTATGAAGCTATCCATTGTTCCTTTATGACTCCTTCATTTTGTATTTTCTTAAGATCATTTACTTAGGAAGACCAGATATATTCTTATATTTTGTTCTGGAAACTTACTCTTTTGCATTTTACTTTTAAATCATTAATCATCCACAAATGTATTTCATGAGCTAAATATATGAATATTAGTAAGCTTTTTTTTCCCCCGAAATGGATAGCCAGTTTTTGCCATAAACCACTGAATAATCTATCTTTTCCTCACCAATTTAAAAACCAGGGATAGTACTATATGAATGAATGAGGATTATAAGAAATGTACTTTTTTTTTTTAATGCAGAGAGGAGGATGTCAGTTTTGAAGCAGAGGTCAACGATATAGGACAGGGTTTGTAGAAAGTCAAGGATAAAAGAATGTGGTTGCCTTGGGAGCTGCTGTAGTGTCAAACTGGATAGGTTTAAAAGTATAGGTGGGATGAAGTAAGAGTATATCTAGGACAGACAAATATAGGCACACCCATATGTTTATATGCTTAGCTCTATGCTTTGCTTTACTGCTCTTCACAGATATTGCAGGGTTGGTGTGTGTGTTTGCAGATTACAGATCTGTGATAACCTTGTGCTGAGCAAATCCATCAGCATCGTTTTTTGGACAGCATGCGTTTGCTTTGTGTCTCTGGGTCACATTTTGGTAATTCTTGCAATATTTCAGATTTTTTCCTTAGTATTATGTCTCTTATAGTGATCTGTAATCAGTGATCTTTGATGTTACTATTGTAATTGTTTTGGGCAGCATGAACAGCACCCATAGAAAATGACAAACTTAATAAATTATGTTGTGTGTGTTCTGACTGCTCGACCAACTGGCCATTTCCCTGTCTCTCTCCTTTGGCCTCCCTGTTCTTTGAAACAACAATATTAATATAAGGCCAATTAATAACCCTACAATGTACACCTAGTATGCATCAATATTAATCCTTCAATGGCCTCTAACTATTCCAAGTAAAAGAGTCATATGTCTCTCACTTTACATCAAAAGCTAGATATAATTAAGCTTAGTGAGGAAGGCATATCAAAAGCCGAGAGAGTCCAAAGGCTAAGCCTCTTGCACCAGTTAGGCAGATTGTGAAAGGAAAGGAAAAGTTCTTGAAGGAAATTAAAAGTGCTATGCCAGTGAACATATGAAAAATGAGGAAACAAAATGGCCATATTGCAGACATGGGAAAAGTCTGAATGGTCTGGGTAGAAGATCAAACCATCTGCAACATTCCCTGAATCCAAAACCTCATCCAGAGCAAGGCCCTAACTCTCTTCAATTCTGTGAATGCTAAGAGAGGTGAGGAAGCATCAGGAGAAGAGTTTGAAGCTTACAAAGGTTGGTTTATGAAGTTTAAAGAAGGAAGCTGCCTCCAAAACATAAAGGTGACAGGTGAGGCAGCAAATGCTTATGTAAAAACTGCAGCATGTGATCCTGAAGATCTAACTAAATTAATTGATGAAGGCGGCTACACTAAACAACAGATTTTCAATGTAGATGAAACAGATTTCTACTGGAAGAAGATGCCATCTCATAGCTAAAGAGAAGTCAGTGCTTGGCTTTCAAGGACAGGCTAATGTTGGGGGCTAATGCAGCTGTTGATTTGAAGTTGAAGCCAGTGCTCATTTACCATTCTGAAAATCCTAGGGCCTTTAAGAATTTTGCTGCATCTTACTCCCTGTGTGGTCTGTAATGGAACAACAAAGTTCAGATGAGAGCACATCTGTTGATGGCAGAGTTTACTGAATATTTTAAGCCCACTGTTGGGAACTGCTAAGCAAAAAAGATCTCTTTCAAAATATTGCTGCTCATTGACAATGCACCAGGTCACCCATTTTCTGTGGTGAAGATGCCCAAGGATATTAATGTTGGTTTCATGCCTGCTAACAACATCCATTTTGCAGCCCATGGGTCAAAGAATGATTAAGATTCTCAAGTCTTGTTATTTAAGGATTGCATTTTATAAGGCTATAGCTGCCATGGATAGTGATTCCTCTGACAGATCTCAGCAAAGTAAATGGAAACCCTTCTGGAAAGGAGTCACTATTCTAGATGCCATTAAGAACATTTGTGGTTCATGGGAGGAAGTCAAAGTATCAACATTAACAGGAGTTTGGAAGAATTTGATTCCAGTCCTCATGGGTGATTTTGAGGGGTTCAAGCTCAAGTGGAGGAAGTAACTGTAGATATGGTGGAAATAGCAAGAGAACCAGAATTAGAAGTGGGGCCTGAAGATAGGACTGAGTAAGACTTGAATGGATGAGGAGTTGCTTCTTACAGATGAGCAAAGAAAGTGGTTTCTTGAGATGGAATCTACTCCTGGTGAAGAAGCTATGAACATTGTCGAAATGACAACAAAGATTTAGAATATTATGTAAACTTAGTTGATAAAGCAGCATCAGGATATGAGAGTGGACTCCAAGTTTGAAAGAATTTTTACTGTGGACAGAATGCTGTCAAACAGCATCACATGCTGCAGAGAGATCTTTCGTCTTACAGAGAGATCAAACAGGAAGAATCATTCAATTCAACAGATTTCATTGTTGTCTCATTTTAAGAAATTGACCCAGCCACCCCAGCCTTCAGCAGCCACCACCCTGATGAGTCAGCAGCCATCATCAAGGCAAGACCCTCCACCAGCAAAAAGAATGTGACTTGCTGAAAGCATCAGATGATCATTTGCATTTTTAGCAATAAAGTATTTTTAAAATTAAGATATGAACATTGTTTATTTAAACACAATGCTGTCAACACATCTTTTATACCTACTGGGAAACCAAAAAGTTTGTGTGACTCACTTTGTTGTCATATTTGCTACATTGCAGTAGTCTGTAAACAAACTTTCTGTATCTCTGAGGTATGCCTGTGTGTACTAAAATTTGTATAAATAGTAATCAAGGGTAGGAAGTCAACAGCTATTTATGTTATGCAAGGTGATATTATAAAGGAATTCTTGGGTGTTTTTTCTTTTTGTAGATGTATTTTAATTTATTATCTTTGGCTTAGGAATTACCATTAACCATTGTATAGGAACATGTCTTAAGAGTAAGCTCTTTTTGCTTAACATCCGATTTAAGTCGAGCTTTCATATTTAGTCATAACTTATTTATTTAAAGCTATTAATATATAAAAGGTAATTATCAATTCTGGAAAAGTTTGGCTCTATGACAGTGTACAAACTAATTCAAGAAAAAGACTATTAAGTATGTGAAGCACCACATCCAGAGAAAAAAGATTTTCTAGAAAATTCGATACACATGTAGAGGAAAGTGATTATGTGTATACTTATGGGACTAAATTTGAAGTGTGTTGGAAATGGGGTTGTCAGTGTGATTTTAAAATTATTGACCTGTAACAGAGTCATTATAATTGAAAATATTGCTTTATTTGTCTTGTCTTCCCTTGCCTTTACCTCTATCCTTCTGTTTTCTCCTTTGTTACAGACCATACATCTGTCGGCGGTCTGGGAGACAGTTTTTATGAATACTTACTGAAAGCATGGTTGATGTCAGATAAAACAGACCATGAGGCAAGAAAGATGTATGATGATGCTATTGAGGTGATTATTTCCAGAACATTTTTCTACTTAACATATTGAACATACAGTGTATTTGGTAGTGACTAGATGACTATCTTATAACCATTTTATTATAGACATTCAGTAAATATGTATAAGCATTTTATTATATGCATTCACTATAGAGTTTGCTACTATTTTAATAGAAAAGCCTCATATTAAGTCTTCTTTTATTTGTGGCATTTTAAAGAAATTTTTGAAGAAAGAATTTATTGTAGGCCGGGTGCAGTGGCTCACACCTGTAATCTCAGCACTTTGGGAGGCCGGGGTAGGCAGATCATTTGAGGTTGGGAGTTCAAGACCAGCCTGGCCAACATGGTGAAAACCCATCTCTACTTAAAATACAAAAATCAGCTGGGCATGGTGGTGCATGCCTGTAGTCCCAGCTACTTGGGAGGCTGCGGTGGTAGAATCACTTGAACCTGGGAGGTGGAGGTTGCAGTGAGCTGAGGTCTTATCATTGCACTCCAGTCTGGGTGACAGAGCGAGACTCTGTGTCAACAATAAATAAAATAAAATAAGAATTTATTTTAGTGTATTCATGAAAATTGATTTTATTTACTTTTAGTTAATGTTTGCAGAGACTGGAAAACTTCTGACTTTGTATACATTTTCATAAACGTTTTTTCTTTCAAATGACCCCTTTGAATTTACACATTGAGAGCCTTATGGGTAAATACTTAACTAATGACAACACATGTATATAGTATTTTCTACGTGCCAGGCACTGTTCTAACCCTTCTTACATGTATGAGATCATTTAATCATTATCACCATTTTACACATGAGGACCTTAAGGAACAATGAAGTTAAAGTAACTTGCTGAAGGTTGTGTTGCTGGTAATTGATGGGGCCTGGAACTGAACAGTCTGGCTGCCGAGCCAGTGCTTTTAACCACTGTCTTACATTGTTTCATATTTAAATGACTTCATACCATAATATTATGACAGTTTATAATTGGAACAAGATTCATTCTAGGAAGAATTTATATGGAGTATTTCTAAGAAAAAACTGAAATAGAAAAGTAAGTTAAAAGTGTGTTAAGTAAGTGTGTTTAGCAGGTTATTAGCTTCCTGCTTTATTATAAACTGATATCCACTTGACGATTTTAATTACTTTTTAAAAGTTGTATATTTTGTATATAACAACACTGTGCTGATGTAGTCAGTAATTAGTTGTCAGAGTTATAATTTTTGTTTGGTTTGTCTTTTTCATTAAACCAAGGATCTTATCCATTTTATATCCCTACTTTTTAGGCACCTAATTTGCTATAATTGTTTTTAAAAAATGCGCAGGAGTTGAACTTAATATGTGGCTCATGGTGTTTTGCCCATTATAGGTACTCAACAAGTGTTTGTTGAGATATTGTATGAAATAATAAATTGAACTAAAGGTACAACAAAGAATATAAATTTTAGTAGGAGAACTTTATTCTCTTTTATTAAAATTTAAACCTAGAAAGTTTTATGATCCAGATAGGTTGTTATCTGGGAAGAATTTAATATTCTTAGAACCATATTGTTAAAAATAGCTCTTAGTAATTCCCACTAGACTGTGGCCTCCTTTGAGGGCAGAGACTAATTTGCTTATCATTATCTCAGCATCTAGCATGTTATTTGAAACATAATAAGTATTCAATAGTATTTGATAAATGCATGAATATATTTAATATTATTATATTTGAGAAAATGTGGTGTATCATATCTCATAATAAATTAATTTTTGCTGTTTTCTTGTAATTTTCTTTAAAACTATTTTGACTTTTGCTTAATTTTTTCCAAAGGAAAAAAATTATATTTGTCATACTTTTTTAATTGTACATGCTTTGAAAGGCATGATAACTATTTTGAAAGTTAACCTTATAAATTCACACTATTTTTCATGAATCATCTGCTATATGTTGTGTATTCTGTAAATATTTCTGTACTTGCTTTCTTTTCCCTGTTTTTATTAGTTTTATTAGTTATTAAGTCAAGAATAGGTACCTAATAAATGTTTTTTAATAGTTGGTCAGCTTTCACTTTGAGACATGATCTCAAGTATGCAGTCTTTGCAGTGTTAATTATTTTCAAAAATTGTTAGAGTATTGTAAAATAAATGACATATGGAATGTATGAAAGAGATAGGAATGACCACTTAAGACTCATTCTAATTTGAAATACGTTATTTTTAAACTTTGTCTTTCTGAGCTATTTTACTTAAATTATTCCATACCCATCCTACCTTACTGTGTTCTTACAGATATCCATATCCCTGGTTTCTACTTTCTTTTAAAATTATTGGTAAAAAAAAAAACCCTAGTGAACTGCCTTTTACGTTAGTTCTAGTAAGTCCATGTGGATATACTTGGATATCTTTTCATTGTAATATAGTAAGATTTATGTTATAATGAACAGAAATGACAAAATGACAAACATATGAATACCATCTTTTAGGCATTTTTGGAATACCTTTTATGTGGAAAACATGCTAGTATCATGAGGTTCAGAAACATGAAAAATACCACCCCATACTCAAAAAACTTTACTTGTGCTTCAGAGTACTATGGTTAAAACAATGACAAAAACTTATTACTTAATAATTAAATATGTATTGAGTGCACACTACATTATATGCCTTCTGGAATATAGGTGATCAGTAAGACATAGTCACTCCAGTTCTGTAAAACTCACATTATTATTATAGAGAATATAGAATAAAATTTTCCAATCCTGATTGTTATTAAACTTGTCAGCGAACAACTGAAAATAAAAATATTCCTTTTTGTCAGAAAGAAAAATTAACTACTAATCATACATAATAATTTCTGCTAAAGAAAACTGAGTTAATGGCCATTGCTTATACTTTTCCATAGAAATACCTCTAAAGGTAGAAAATAGCTCATCTCAGCAAAGTCTAAGAACATATTCCAAAGGAGCAAAGCTCTTGAAAATCTCATTTTAAAAATGAAATGTGATTGTTATACTCTGATATACTCAAGTTTAGTATAGACTGTTTCTCTCACCATTCCCACATCTTTTGAGTAAAATTGATATTCCAGGAAGATAGACAATGTTTATAATATGGCTTCTCTTATCCATGACAATGCATCCAAAACAAATGCCTAAGTCTGAGAAGTAAGGGACTAAAGATAATACTATGTAGAAGGTAATCTTTAGGCCAAGTCTCTCCTCTTCCACTCTGTCTTATTATGGTAGTGATTCAGGTATTTGTTCCAGATTATATGCAGTTTGATCCTCCACTCCAACACTTACTATTAATTAAGTCTCTTAGTTTGGGAAAGTTACTACTTTATAGACTATCATATTACCCAGGTTTTATAATGGCCAGAAGGATATAGTAAGTTTGAACACTTAATAGTTTGCATCTAAAACTTTGAATATCTTTTCTTTCCTATAGGCTATAGAAAAACATCTTATTAAGAAATCTCGTGGAGGTCTTGTCTTTATTGGAGAATGGAAGAATGGGCACTTGGAAAAAAAGATGGGGCATTTGGCCTGCTTTGCTGGGGGAATGTTTGCACTGGGAGCGGATGGTTCCAGAACAGATAAAGCTGGTCATTATTTAGAACTGGGGGCAGAAATTGCACGTACTTGTCATGAGTCATATGACAGAACTGGTAAGAATATTAATAAGGCTAATTATATAGTCTAAAATAATCTCTAAAAATGTATTTAGCAATAAGAAGAATATGTAGGCGCTTGTTACTTCCAGATAGTTTACACCAACATGGCAAATCATTTTCTTAAAAACTTGAATTTTAATTCTGGAAATGTGTCTCTGCATTATTTTTTAAATTCTGAATTCTGCTGCTATTTCTGTTAAAGATTTTGAAGTAATTGTTTTAAAGACAAGAATCGTGGGGTATTTGGGAATAAATGGAATAACATTTATTTTAATATAAGAATCCATTTTTGCCATTTCAGCTTCTATAAAAACAGTTACTTAAAAGAACATAAAATTGACTGATTTCAGTTACATTGCCTTGCCTATCCTCTTGTGATAAAAAGAATAACCAAAAGATGATAGTATTTATCTTTATTGGTGTCTGGCTAACTAGTAGTTTTTCAATTAGTTTACCAATAGTTTTTGGAATTGTTTATGGCTTTAACTAAAAAGATCCTCTGACATTGCATTGGGCAAATATTTTCTGAACTTCAGTGTCCTTACTTAGAAAAGGAGATGATTCTTACATGGTGACAAAAGGCCGGGCGCGGTGGCTCAAGCCTGTAATCCCAGCACTTTGGGAGGCCGAGACGGGCGGATCACGAGGTCAGAAGATCGAGACCATCCTGGTTAATATGGTGAAACCCCGTCTCTACTAAAAAGTACAAAAAACTAGCCGGGCAAGGTGGCGGGCGCCTGTAGTCCCAGCTACTTGGGAGGCTGAGGCAGGAGAATGGCGTGAACCCGGGAGGCGGAGCTTGTAGTGAGCTGAGATCTGGCCACTGCACTCCAGCCTGGGCGACAGAGCGAAACCCCCGTCAAAAAAAAAAAAAAAAAATGGTGACAAAAATTGATTTGGTTGGGGCTGAAAAAATTTTTACTCTTTGTGTATAAAGCACAGATATGCATATAGTCATACATAGATATACAGTATATATTTGGTATTAAAATTTTATGGAGGGAGAAGGCAATTAGACTTTTTTTAAAAAGGCAAAATGCTTCTTAGGGGTGCAGTAATGAAAAGGGGCTGAAAAACACTGGACTAGACCTTCCAAGATTTTCTCTGGCTTTAAAAACATGAGTTTCTATATGAGGTAATGGATAATGAGCTCCCTGAAAGCCAAAAAACTAGAAATTTCTATTTGATTTCAGAAGTCAAATCATTAATTTTATCAAATAACAATTTCTGTTGTAGGGTTACTTTATCAGATACCATGAAACAAATATGATTGACCTAAAATTTATGCTAGTTCATAAATCTGTCAAGTTATTTTTATACAGTAAAGAATTATTAACTTATGGCAAAATTGATTCTTCAGTTTTCTCATTAACTAAATCAAGGGTTCCCTTTCTTGAAAGAATATAAGTCAAGAGGACAGTGAAGTAGTGTTATTTCAGGGTAGTTTAAGTGTTGGTGTGTAATACATATAAAGGCAGTGATCTGAGTTTGAAATAGAGGCTAAATTAAATTATCGTGTTAATATAGAATGTCAATTATGCACTTAAAATATAGCTAAAACATTAGTAAAACATTGAGGACCAGGATGGATATTCATAGAGGCTAAATTAAATTATTGTGTTGATATAAAATGTCAATTTTGCACTTAAAATATAGCTAAAATTAGTAAAACATTGAGGACCAGGATGGATATTCAATTTTATATTAGGATCCACGAGAATAAGGATTGTTATTTGACAGATTTTGACCGAAAATCAAATAATAGACCTAAAATAATTGAATTTCATATAGCATACATACTAAAATATGGTATATCATAGTTCTTATAATTAAATATTTGCTCCATGAAATAGGTAACAGCCATTATATGCCAAGTATTATGCTAGATGCTTATAGGTTAAAGTATGAACAAGATACATTCCCTGCCTTTCAGAAATTCATAGTGTATCGGAGTTATGAAAGGATTTCCTTATATTTCTGGTTTTCACATTTCATAATGACATTGCTGATGCTGATTCTTTTTCTGATTGTCATTTTCACATTGCAAGTTGATGAACCTGTGACCCTCTTTGTTATGGTAAACCAAAACATGATTATTTGATTTGTGTCCTGTATTTTCAAGTCTTCTGTTGTTTTTACTTGTCTTTAATCTCAATTTAGATCCTTTAATTAAAAAGTACAATCCTAGTTTTGCTAACTTTCCAGCAGGTTATTAATCCTCTGCTGTGTTTTCTTATAGCTGTGCTGTAATTTTTGGCCGCCGTATTTTAAAATATCCATTCATTTCTCCTTAGTAGTTATTCCAGCTAAATTTATACTGTAATTATCTACAACTAAATCAATTCATGATCTAAGTTCTAAAATGTTTTCTTATACGTGTGTATTATGGCAAAATGTCTTTAAAAATTACCTTGCCCTAAAAAAAAATCCACACAGTATAATTATCTATGTACTTTTATTTCGGACCACAGTGGACTATATGATGTGCAAATGTCTAGGTTTGCATTTGTTTCCAAAAGATTACTAGACTTTTATTGGTAGAATTGGATTTAGCAGTATGTTGATACACATTATTCTGAGAAACATTTTATGTGAGAATAATAGGAATATTTATAAGTCTATTTTAAGAAAACCAAATGTGGATCTTTTAAAATGACTCATTTTGCACTGAGTGCAAACAGCAACAGTAAAAATAAACAACAAAAATTACTTCATATTCTATTCTTTCAGGGAAGAAAGAAGTCCTTGCAAACAAACTTAAATGGTTTATTTTGCTCAGTTATTTCTTTTGTCATGTTACAGCATTAAAGCTAGGTCCTGAATCATTCAAGTTTGATGGTGCAGTGGAGGCTGTGGCTGTCCGGCAGGCTGAAAAGTATTATATCCTCCGTCCAGAAGTAATTGAAACCTATTGGTACCTATGGCGATTCACTCATGATCCAAGATACAGGCAATGGGGCTGGGAAGCAGCACTGGTAAATAAGCCAATATTCCATTTTATCTGAAAGAGTGTTACATCATGCCCTCCTATGATGCCATGTATCCTCACCCATGTTACCTCATTTTTAGTATCTGTAGGGCAGTTTTTGTTTATCTGATGAAGAAACTCTTAGTCAATTTAAGTTTCTTGGCAGTAGAAATAAATCTTACAATACATATTAAATATATATTAAAATATTAAAATATTTTTAAAATATATAAATATATATTTCAAAGGAGGAATTTTTAATGGTTAGTAGGTAAAGGAAGCAAGGGTTTACTCTTAAAATGCTAGTCTTTCAGGGAATCCATGGCTATCAGTACCTAGGGAGGAAAAAATTATTAGTCTTTTATAAAAGTATAGCTTATTCCCAGGGGTAAGGGGTTGTTTTATTCTTTGAGATTTACTAATTGTGATAAATAGCACTAATTATGGTGACTATTCATATTCAAATTGTTTAACTTAAGCTTACAATCTAGATAGAATGATTAAGGAATCCCAAATGAGGTCAGTAGTGCTGGTAAATTGCCCAGACAGGAATGTATGAGATATGTTTTAGGGCGAGATGTATACCAATTTGTGTAAAGAGAACGTTGCAGAGTGGCAAAGCGGGAGAGAAGATTGGAGACATTATAGTAGACAGCCTTACACACCAAATCAAAGGTTCTTAGTTGTTCAGGAAATAAGACGTGTGCGCACAACTCCCTCCCTGCAATATACACTATCTTAGTTACTTCTGTCAGCTACTGTGTAAGTGCTGTCATATGGGAAGTAGTAATAGAAAGTTCTTTGCTTATCCAAAAAGCCCTTCAAATCTTGTTTTTCTTTTTTCCTTAGCATCTTCTACCTGCAAAAGCTGCTTGACTTTTGAGAATTCCTTACAGAACTACTAAATGTTTTATAAGGGGGAAGGAACTCCTGAAGGCTTTTTTCAGTGGGGAGTAACAAAGCAAAAGGATCTGATTGTAATCCACAAGTTGGTGGGTTTGGGAGACCACAGCCATAACCTAGGAATAATGTGAGATCTTGAACTAAGGGGAGTACACTTATTTTTCACCTGTCATTCAGACCTAGGTAGTCCTCCTGGACTTTAACAATAAGAGCATATTAATGGAAGCAAGTGGTTACACAGGACAGGAACAGATGCAGCATTTATTGATGCTGCTTTTCCTTGGCTCCTTGGGTCCAGAAGTGGGAGCACAGCTACTAGTGAAATTCTCTGTGTAGGAGGGTGCTGCCACAGTTGAGAAGACAGCCAAACTATTGCCACAGTGGTTTGGGAATAGAATGCACACACACTTCTATTGTTAGCAGTGGCTTACTAATGCTTCCGTAAATTAAGCACTATTTTATGTAAGGGAAATAGATAGGTAAAATAATCTTATAATGAACCTGTTTCATTTGAACATCCCCTGTTATTTAATGCTTCTTATTTAGAGGAGTGAGGGGGATATGTCTGAATCATGTGAGGAGTGGAAAGTGGTGGCAGAAGCACTTTTTGTCATTGAGGAGTACTTTAGGATAATTCATCCATTTCCTAAGGTCCTTTTTTCCTGTGTGCTTTCTTCAAGTATGACCCTACTTTTGTCTGTTAAGGAGAGGTGTGACAGAGTCAGACTTTAGCCTATGTCTGTCTAAATTTGAATTATGGGGGGTAGAATTTTGCTTTTATAGCCTATGTGGACAAACACAAACTCAATGTGTAATTGGTCAAGAACAAGAACTGGAGTACTTATATTCTAAATTCGAGTTTCAGAAGTGTGCAGTGGAAGTGATGAGAAGAGGGAGGAATGGAGGCAAAAGAGGCAGTGTCACATCTTAAATAGTATTTGCTCATGCATCACCATTGGCCTCTCCTCTTGGGTGTGAAGAAAGCAAAAGGAAGGCTGGGTGAGGCAGAATAGCAGTATAGCATGTCTTCTGTAGCCTTGGCTATTCTATTTACATATTGAAACTTCCAAACTGGCCCTCATGACTCTAAATGTCTTAAAGATTAGTCATGCCTCCCCACTACTTTCGTATTATTCTTCAACCATTTTGATAATTCATATGGTGGTGAAGACACATGATTATTGTGAAGAAAAGTACTTAAAAAGTCTTGTATCCAAAATTTCTCTATAATGTATTAGAGAAAAGCACCAAACCCCTTAAACTTAGCTGTAATCAAAATGGAGCTATAAAATGAACAGATTGATTAAATAAACACCTTTTTAATGTTAATTAGCTTTTCATAGGAAGGAGAAGCCCAGAAGAGTAAGAAAAGTAGCAAGACTAGAAACAACAAGCCATGGCAGACAGCGATGATTAGTTAAGTACCCATGCCTTCATTGGATGACCACCCAGGGTTAGGTAGAATAGAAAAACAGAACCACATGTGCTTTCCACTTTTCATGAATGGCTGAATTCTGGACTGTGCTGTACCTGCATAAGCAGACTGTTTGGTTGCTTTGAATTAAAAAATAAGGTTGTGAATAGATTCCATTTGATTCAGTATATTTTATTTAGACATGCCCAAAGATGGAAAAAGAGGAAGAATTTTAACTCTCAGTCAAGCAGTAAAGCACAGTAGTTAATAATGTGGAGCAAAGTACTCTGTGTCTCAGTTTTCCCATCTGAAAAGTGAGGCTGTTAACCTCATAGAGTTGTGAAATTCAAATGTGACTATATTTAAAGCTCTTAGAACAGCTTTTAGCACAAAGTAAATAGCTTATAATTGTTCTTTATACTGTAATTATTATTATGGTAGGTGGGCTCTTTCTGCCAGTTGGTACCACCTGTAATGGCTAACTCATAGGATTATGATAATGCAATGTCTGGCACATAGTATGTATTTAGTAAATATGATCTCTTACTGCTATTACTATAAAGTGCTCCTAAGTAATACTTTTTTAGCATGTTGTGGATTATTGTTTGTCCTTGGAAGTGGTAAAATTGCAATAAAAATTGTTAATCGAAACTGACCTCCATCTTGATTTGTCAGAACTAATGGACCTTTATTTTGCCAGACAGACCCCTCATTTCAAAAAAATAGCCTAAATTTGATTTCTAAGTTAGGAAAATATAAGATGTCTTAAAAAGATTAAAGGGTTTTGGAGAGAGAGAAGTTCTATAGGAAATATCCTATTTCTTGTATGAGTTAATTTTTCCAGTATGAGAATATTTCCTTTTGATAATATATTATTTTTAAGCCATCAAATTTTCATGCAAATCTTTATGAACTTTTGACTATTATCCTTCAGAGTTTTGTTGTCCTTCAAAACTTGAAATTCTGCGGAATTGCTTATTTTGTCTGATCTCTTTCATAGGCCATTGAAAAATATTGCCGAGTTAGTGGTGGATTTTCTGGAGTTAAAGATGTATATTCCTCTACTCCTACACATGATGATGTACAGCAGAGCTTTTTTCTTGCTGAAACATTAAAGTAAGTATATCGCTTTAAAAAAATTTTTATACTAGACTGGTTTTGCTGTGTGATCACTAGATGATGAATTATGACTATGTGACAGGTTACACTAAATTTTATTGTAAATATCTTTTTATGTAATTGGGTGTGTAAACTTTTTAGCTACATCTCAAGAAGAATGACTTAGACTGTAAGGTAGGTATTTTATCCAAAAAGTACTTAGTACCTGTTAAAATTTTTTGTTCCTTGTTCTTTAATGTGCATTAAAATCACCTGGAAGTCTTCTTAATACACAGGTAACTAGGTCCACACCCACAAAGTTTCAATAGATCTGGAGTTTAGCCTAAAAATTTGCATGTCTAACAAGCTTCCACGTGTTACTGATAATGCTGGTCCTGGGATCATACCTGAGCTCCCTACTGTAGCTAATGAAATCTGTTAGGAATAATCATGCAGTTTTGATGGTACTAAATGATCATAGCCACTTATCCTCCCGATGAGGTTTACTGTAAAGATACACATAAAAGGAACAATGGAAAAAGTAGACAACTTTATTTTGGTCTTATACTCAAAACCCCAGGTAGAGCTCTCTGTAAGCAGACCTGGAAAAGATGGAGGCTGTAAATATGTCCACTTCCCTGAAGACTGACCAAATAAATATCTCTTTGTACTGTCTCTTAAATTTCTTATTTGTATTTCTTGCATATCTGTACATGAAAGCCTTGTAAACATTTTATTTTTTCAACAAATGTGTATTACCAGGCACTGTTGAAGACACTTGAGGATGTTTCAATAGGCAAGCAGGACAAAAATTCCTGCCTTCTGGATTTTACATTCTAGTATACTTGTAGTTTACATTCTCATATATTACAATTAAAACGTACCTGTATCGAACTAAGTTTCTAAATGTCTATCCTAAATGCTATCTTATTCTAATTTTTCTTTTATTACCCCTAGTACTGTTGTTTTCCTGTCTTTTTAGCTTATACATTATAGAATCATTTCTGCTTCCTCCTTTTAATATATCACCAGTTCTTTATGCTTCTTTCTGTTACATTTTTTTTTATTTTGCTTCCTCCTTTCCATTTCTACAGTTGACCCTAATCCAGCCCCTTATTACTTCTGGGATGGTTTAGAACATCTGCCTGGTACTCAAGTTTCCTACATCTAGATGTTTCTTATTCTGACTTCTCCTGTGTAATTAGGCTTGAGACTGTATAAGTTGAAAGAGCACTGGACTAGAAAATAAAGCGACAGGAACTTTAGTTGTACACTAGCTACATCTAGCTGAATGAACATGTCAAAATAAAATTTCTTTGCTTTTGGTTTACATGACTGTGAACTATGGAATTTGGCCCAGATTATGTAGTATCTCCTGTTTTAGTTTTTTCTTTTTTAACTTTAGAAAAACTGTAAGATAGGATAATGATTATTTGTGTCTTTTCACCTAGTTTTGCCACATTTCCTTCTCTTTCTTTCTGCATACACTCACATATACACATAGTTTTACTTTTTTTTTTTTTTTTTAGCTTTTCATTTTGCTGGACAAGTTGATAGTGACCAGCATTATGATATTTCAGCAGTAACTTTCAAGAAAAGGTCATTACCTTACATAATCACCATTTAGTTCTCACACTCATGAACCTTAATATTCACATAATATTATTGTCTAATATGTAGTCCCATTTTCAAATTTCTCCAATTGTTCCAGTAATGTGCTTTTTTTTTGTTTAATGCCAATTCAGGATCCAGTATGGGATCATTTGTTACTTTTGGTTGTCATGTCTCTTTAGTCTCCTTCAGTGCAGTTTTCCTGTTTTTCTTTTATCTTTTATGAAATTGACATTTTTAAAGTATTCAGGCTAGTTGCTTTGAGGAATGTTCCCTATTTTAGATTTTTTTTCTAATTGTTTCTCATGATCAGATTTAGGTTAAACATTTTCAGCATGAATATTATATTGATCTGTGTTCTTATCATTGCATTCCTTAAAGAGACACATAGCAGTTTAGCCCATTATTGGTGAGTTTAGGTTTGAGTATAGGTTATACTTGATTATTGTCATGTAAACAATCTTTTTTCTTTTTGTAATTAATAACCTATCTGTGGAGTGATAATTTTGAGACTGTGTGAATATTCTTTTAATCCTAGATTCTATTCTTAAACCAACCTAATGTACATTCAAATATTTACATATATATAAAGTTTGTTCTGTTGCATTTGTCTATTTTATATTTAATTGCTTCTGGCAGGAGTGCCTTTATCCTTTCTATCAATTAATGCCTCTCATTTCTAATTTCAGTTCATATTTCACCTCTTGCAGACTGGCTTTCATAATTAATTCTCAAATCTCTCATCACTACAAACTTTAGCACTTTAGTACACGGCATAGGGCTGGAAATAGATGGTATGCTGCCTCATCCCCTTTGAGTACCTATATGGAATATCACCAGTTAATCTTGGTACTTTTCCTTGCCAGGTTCAGGCAGAATTCTTCTCAACACAACAGTACGCTAGGTAACCAGTCAGATCAGATTAGATAGATAGATAGATAGATAGATAGATAGATAGATAGATAGATAGATAGATGTTTGCTACAATTTTTGCCTTTAAAAAAACATACATTTAGAGCAATAAAAGTGAAAAAAGGTCAAACAAAAAGAAACATACAAATAATTATAACATCACCTAGGCTCAGAAAATTGTCACAGTTGCGCAGTACGTTCAGCATTGCACTTCCTGGCAGCAAAAGCAAAAAGGAATCATTCTGCGCAATGTCATTATCATTTTTGGGAGTTGAGGAAGCATATTACTTTGACAAATGAGACAGAATTTTTTATGTTGCTAAATTATAAAATGACTTAAATTGGATAACTCTATGAAAATATTGAGCTATTAAGTGAACCATATGAAATTACCCTTTTAAAAAGGGTAATTTGAATATTGGCAATTTAATACAGTTCGACCTAATACATAATGGTAATGGTAAATATTTTGAAAATATTTATTTTGTTTGAAACAGTGATCTTAGAGAAGATACAAAAACACTCAATCTGATTTACTCTTTATAAAAACTGATGTAAAAATACAATTGAATAAAGTCATTTCTGTGAAGATGTAAATTAATGTAGCTGTAGTCTTATTGTAAAAATAGAGCTTAAAACTTTATAGAGGAATGAAGATAAGTATGATCCCTTAAATATTTCTCAAAGATCAGTTAATTTAAATAGGCTTTGTCAGAAGCTGTCAATTTAAGATTGTATATTCTACCAAATGGTGGGAATTTATTGGGAATTCATTAAAAGGCAACAATCAATGTGTTTTAGCTACCAGAGATGGAAACTGATTGTCACGGCAGTGGCAAAGTCAAATGAAAAAGCCTGTATTCTTGACCTAAGTTGAGGGTCATTTTACCTTTTACATGTTGTCATAGGTGCTATACTATGGATTAGTTATTGCTATAGCTTTTTCCCCAGAAGAGGCCATGTCTCCTACTTTTTTTGTTTCCCTTAATAGTCCTTACTTCATTTATTAATATTTATCTAGCATATATACTGATGGCATAACAAAACCTATGTAATAAGGAAGGTCAGAGATAGATTCCTTCAAAGGTTCAAAAACTCTTATACTCTAGTACAGGAAATAAAACACATGCAATATATACAACAAATTTCAAATACATTAAGTGTATAAGAGAAATATTAACAAAATGCAGAAGTCTTTTAGAGAAGAGAGTTTGCTTAACCTGGAAGACAAGGGAAGATTTCCTGGAAGTAGTAGCATTTGAACCAGACTTGAAGGCAGAATTGGTATGCAGGGGAATAGCTGTAAGGTAGACCATGGCATATTAAGAATGAGATGAGAGCTCTAAAGGTAGAATTGACAAACCTGAATATCTGATTTTATATAAGGAGATTCAGTAAGAAGGAAGAATCAGAGTTAATATTAAAGTTTCCAGTGCCAACCTGACTACAGTTTCTAATCAGCATGTTAGTGCCTTTTAAATATTAATAAATAGTATTAACTTAGAAATGTTTATTGAACTATAACATGTAAGATCAGCATGTTTGTATATGTATGTTATACTTTGACTTTTAAAGTTTAAAATATGAATATAACAAGGTAATTTAAGAAAATATCCAAAAATAGAAGGGTATGTTTCCAGCTTGAAGGAAACCATCAAGATCCCAGCATAGAAGATGAAAACAGACCCACACCAAGGCACAGCACGTTGAATTTCAAAACCCCTGGGGTAAAGGAAAGATCTCAGCTTCCACAGGGAGAGAGAGTAGAATAAAGTCTCATCGATATGGATTCAGGGTGGCTTCAAACTTCTCAAGAATAGTCATGAAAGCTAGAAGCATTGGAGCAGTTGATTCATGAGAGAAAATTAATTCCAACTTAGAATTCTGGGTTTTTAGCTACATAAGGTATCAAAAATCCACTTCCAATCCTCTTTCTCAGTAAGTTTTTGGAGGGTATGCTCCATGAAAACTGGATATAAACCAAAAAAGACACGAATACAGGGAAGAAGTGAAAGGAAGATTAAGGGAATGATATATTGAGTTTGAGGAGGACAGAGGCTCTAGAGAAATTTCTTCAAGATTAAATTTATAGACTGTTTATATCTGAATATTTTGAGATGAGATTTAGACAGTTGGTGAAGATTTTAGGTGCATTATCACTAATAAATACAAGTCAGCTTGCTTTTTAAATAACGGGAGGAGTCGTGCAAGAAAGGAAAAGCCATGAATAGCTTTTAGTTAACATATGAACTTGTTTAAAGACACTTGGTTGGAGTCTTGATTGTTTTGTAAGAAGAGCTAAATGGTATTACTGCCCCCTCTCTTCAGCTGCAAGAAAGAGAAGTATGTTCTTTGATAATGGCTTTTGTCCCTCCAAGGACTGTCTTATTCATTAGTTTCCGTGAAATAGCAGTTGGTCAAAAGTCTCTTAAGCTGAAATAATTGCGAGGAAAGTAGCAGATAGAACACCAAGACTCCTAGGAGCAGTTCTCTAG